CAATTTCCAATAAGCGATGAATTTATATCAGTTAATTGAAGTGGCTGCATATAGTCATTTTTGCAATTTCGAGTGACAAACGACAACAACGCAGTTTTCTTATTTCTGAACGGTGCATTATTGCCGTGAATAGAATGTCGTTTAAAATTTGATAAGGCTAAATACGGTCATTCTTAGTTGTTCATTTGAGAGTTTATTGATTAAACAAAAATAATAGAAAGAACTGCAATTGGATTTTTATGTATAATATATTACTTCATTTTTCTTGCGAGCGCGAGGGTACATTATGCGGACAAAGGAACACGTGCAGTTGTTGATTTGAGAGTTTCTTGATTAAACAAAAATTATAAAATAAACTGCAATTGAATTGTTATATATAAGATATTACTTCATTTTCCTTTCTAGCGCGAGGGGCTTGGTTTCTATCTTGTGCTGTTCTTATTTTCGCGAACATAATCTTTCTGTGAATAAACTGCAAAGTATTTAATGATTTCCTTAGATTTTACTATAATGGCAACTAGATTTGAAACCCGTGCAATGGATTTCGGAACATGACCATTTTAGCAAATACGCGAAAATAAGATACATGTACCGTGAAAAAACAGTATACACGTTACGAAAGTTGTTTACTTGTGTCGTTAAAAGTGATACTCCAATGAAGTATGACGTCAGAAACAAAAAGAACACATGCAAGGGTTACACATCGATACGTTATCCAATATCTTACACGAAAAGTCAAAATGTCCGGATGTCCGTTGTAATAGGTAAGCCCCACCAGTGTACAATGTTAAATCCTTGCCTTCCATGAATGCTTTTGATCAAATAGGATTGATATCCAGTGCATAGTTCTACAGAAGAAGTTCCAGAGAAGAAGTCGCTTAAAGCAATACAGCCTAATAACCCTTTTTGGACCCTGCCCCTCATCCCTCTGGGATGTCAGTCACACCATTTGTACAATTTTGAATCACTGCCTCCCATGAATGCTTTTGATCAAATATGATTGATACCCAGTGCATAGTTCTACAAATGATGTTGTTTGTAGCAATATAGCCAAATTGCCCTCTTTTGGCCCCACCCCTCAGGACCCTGGGGGGTCAGCCCACCATTTGTACAATTTTGAAACCCCACCACCTAGGGATACTTCCAGTCCAATATGGTTGATATGCGTTACTTAGTTCCAGAGAAGAAGTTGGTTAAAGCAATATAGCCAAATTGCCCTCTTTTGGCCCGCCCCTCAGTCCCCTGGGTAGGCAGCCCAACCATTTGTACAATTTTGAATCGCAACCACCTAGGGATGGTTCCAGTCATATATGGTTGATATTCATCACTTAGTTGCAGAGAAGAAGTCGGTTAAAGCAATATAGCCAAATAACACTTTTTGGCCCCCACCCCTCAGTCCCTCTGGGGGGTATGCCCCACCAGTGTATAATTTTGAATCCCTGCCTCCCATGAATGCTTTTGATCAAATAGGATTGATATCCAGTGCATCGTTCTACAGAAGAAGACGTTTGTAGCAATATAGCCACATATCCCACTTTTGGCCCCACCTCTCAGCCCCCTGGGGTGTCAGCCAAACCATTTGTACAATTTTGAATCCCCACCACCTAGGGATGCTTCCAGTCAAATATGGTTGATATCCGTTACTTAGTTTCAGAGAAGAAGTCGCTTAAAAAGCAATATAGCCTAATTGCCCCCTTTTGGCCCCGCCCCTCAGCCCCCTGGGGGTCAGCTCCGCCATTTGTACAATTTTGAATCCCCACCACCTAGGGATACTTCCACTCCAATATGATTGATATCCATAACTTAGTTCCAGAGATGAAGTCGCTTAAACAATTAAGCCAAATTGACATATTTTGGCCCCGCCCCTCAGCCCCCTAGGGGGACAGCCCCACGATTTTTACAATTTTGAATCCCCACCACCTAGGGATGCTTGAGTGTAATCAGCCCAACAGAACTCAAAATATAAGTAATGCATTTTTTAAACTGATTTTCTATTCATATAGTAACAGTGATAGAAACCTTACCCCCGGGCCTGGAAAGTTATCCCAAGCAGGCACTTTCTTTCAGGAAGTACTGGATAAAGTCAGAGTGTAATCAGCCCAAGAGAAATCAAGATATTGTGCATTAATGCATTTAACAGATTTTCTATTTATAGTGACCCATTGACCTTTGACCACTGGACCTGAAAAGTTATCCCAAGCAGGTACTTTCTTCCAGGAAGGACTAGATAAAATCTGAGTGTAATCAGTCCAACAGAATTCAAAATACAGTGCACAAACTGATGTTTTATTTATAGTAAGTAACCTTGACCATTGATATCTAAGGCTGAAAAGCTTTCCAAAGGCTTAAGCAAACATCTTATTACACTGGATAAAGTCTGAGTGCATACGGCCCAAAAGAGCTCCAAATATTGTGCATAAAGTGTTTTTCTATTTATAGTAACATTAACCTTGAACTTTGACATCGATGCCTCAAAAGCTACAATTTGTATCTTAAGCAAATACTTTCTTAAGTAACAATGACCTAAACCTTTCACCCCCAAAGCCCCAAAGCAGGCGCTTTCTCCGAGGTAGCACTTGTAAAGCCTGAGTGTAATCATCCTAACAGAATTGGAAATATTGTGCCTAAACTAATTTTCTATTCATGGTAACAGTGACCTTGACCTTTAACCGCCGGACCTGAAAAGCTATTCAAAGTAAGCACTTTCTTCAAAAAAGCACACTTGGTAGCCCTTCATTCCAGAAGTTGTTTAAGGATGTTAGTACATTTGACTCATGTGACCTTGAAAGTCGGTCAATGTCATTCAAATTTCGAAGCCTCTCATCCAGGCATAATATAGACTCAATATCAGGGCCCCCTCTTAGTTATTGAGAAGAATTTAGCACATTTGACCACTGTGACCTTGAAAGGCAGGCAAGATAATTCATTTGAACATGCTACAGGCACAATATCAGGTCTCTGGGCCCCTTGGTTATTGAAAATAAGTCCTTTAAAGGTTTTAACCTATTTTACCAATGTGACCTTGAAAGTAAGTCAAGCCTGCATGTTACAGGCCCAATATCAGGTCTCTGGGGCCTCTTGGTTATTGAAAAGAAGTCATTTAAACATTTTACCCCATTTAACCCTTGTGACCTGGAAAAGTCGGGCAAGGTCACTCATTTGAACAAACTTGATAGGCCTTTATCCCAGCACGCTACAAGCCCAATAGCAGGTCTCTGGGACTCTAGGTTATTGAGAGGAAGATGTTTAAAGGGAAAGTTGATGTCTGAGGGCCGGACGATGGCCAGACGACGGATACCGCACCAGGGCAAAAGCTCACTTGTCCTTGGCAGGGGAGCTAAAACAGATAGGACAGGCAGACGGAAAACCTTCTAAAGATGTGCAGGGGTCCTAACAACAAATTGGAGAATCCCCCTTTGGGACCCCACCCCTCCCCCTAAGGAGCCAGTGTATTATGAGAGAGACCCTCTGTTAAACGGCATTCAGTTTTCTTAACCAAGTAATGCTCCAGACAATTGGTTTGAAAACATCATCAAGCCATACAGAAGGGCTTAAACAGACGTATTCTATTACGTGATTTATGTCCTCGCAACAGCCAGGGTCTTTGAGGACGGGTGTCTGCGATACACCTATAGAAGAAAACTACAATTCAAAAGAAGTGGATTTGTTGCCGACAAAATTGTTGCCCACACAATTAAAGGGTGTAATTTTGAAATATCATGGTCACCATATGAAAAGCATTATGCTTTCAGTTGCTTGTTCGTTGGTTGAGGGAGCTTAACGTCTACACAACATCTGAGGTCATATGTGGATGGTATCATGAGTGCATGATACGTATTGTGTGTGCCTGTGTGTTGCCTCAAGCAATAAATAGAATTTGACATGAGGATCGAACTCAAAACTGTAAGCCATCATTCAAGAAAAAGCCAAGCATCAAGTTACGTATTGATGTGGCAAGTGGTCGCGAAAACAATAAAGTTAAAAATAAGAATTTCCTATGTGTAAAGGGTTATAACTTAGAACATTGACACTGGATTCTAACTCAAACTATAATCCATTATGCAGGCATATTAAGTTACAAATAATAAAACAGTTAATTATGAGAATTTCTTATGTGCAAAAGGGCCATAACTCCAGTCAGAAATGGAATATTATTGTATGGTTCAAACTCTGTAATCTATTATGATAAAGTCACAAACAAAGATTCAAATTGATATGGCGAGCGGTAGAAAAAATAAGTCCCAAAAAAAGTTAATTTTGATAATTTCCTATGTGCAAAGGGCCATAACTCCAGCCATAAATGGAATATTTACACTGGGTTCGAACTCAAACTGTAATCCATTCTGAAAAAAGCCACATATTAAGTAACAAAATGATGTTGCAAGTGGAAGCGAAAAAAGTACGGGAAAACAATTAATTATGAGATTTCTTATGTGCAAAGGGCCATAACTGAAATATTGACACATGGTTTGGAGTCTAACTGTAATCCATTATGATAAAGCCACATTTAAAGTTACAAATTGATACAGTAAATGGTGGGGAAAAAAGTCTCGAAAACTTAAATGTAACTGCCACCGTCAACGACAACGTTAGTATCTTTAATGAACCTCTGAACCTTGTCCAGAATACTTGCATTCATATTGATACCAAGTCTTTTACATCCATAAAGAATATATAGTCTACATGTCTCATGTTTTAACCACAAATCTCACGTATATACAATTTTGATAATAGATCTAATGTTTAATTTACGTATATCTATATATTACACATCTTTTGTATTTACATTTAATCTATGTATACCATTTCGTTTTATTGCGTGTTTGGTTAAAATTTTCATTGATTCATTTACTGCATATATTTGTTTTGTTCTTTCAGCATCGACAACCGTAGCTGTCTGTGAAATGAAAACAACAACAATCACCTGTCGTCCAGCAGGAATAAACGTGATTAGCGCACGTTACGGACGATTTGACATAGTCACGTGTGAACATCCGGCTATGTCCCTAGTTGGATGTGGTGCTGATGGCGTTTTGGACAACATTCAGGGTCTATGTCAAGGTGAAATCTCGTGTGAACTTGCTGCCTCCAACGGTATCTATGGAGACCCGTGTCCAAACACATTTAAATATCTCGAAGTGACCTACAGTTGTTTGCCAGAACGTAAGTTATGTAACACATTTATTTCTTCTGTATTTAAGAAAAAAAGTATATACAAATAAATATTATTTACTATACAACAAGGGGTGATCTGTACATGCAATAATGATATAGAGTATGTTGTCCCATACTTATCGTCAAAGTATCGATCTATCGTTGTTTCCTCGCTATTGTTTGGAGAATTTACAGTTTCATTGCAGCAAAGGTAAAATGAAGATGGATATAAAAAGTCAAAAGACGCTAAGATCACAATAGACATCAAGTTATTGCAACTAACCGTTGTATGTGTTATTTATTGATTATTATTATTATAGTTGATTAATTCATTGATTGTTATTTATTATTGATTGTCAGTTAACGTATATGTAACTGTTCTGATTTAACGTTAAAATATTTTGTTTTTTTGTTCTTTTAAAATATTGTAAAACTGGAAATTATCGCTAGTAGAACTGTTCGCATCATGACTCTTACAAAAGATCATGGCGTGGAAATGTTGGCGTTGGTAATAATTCGGATGTCTATTATATCCTGTAAATCTTAAATAGCCTACTATAGATTTGCGTGTCGATATTTTTGGATCATTTACTCTGCACGACAAACGCTATGTCCACACCGCACAATTTCGACTTTTAAAATACTTGTTCGTGATAAACGAATGATGAGTGTGTTATCTAAATTACATTCATCTGTTTTCCGTATTTTACAACTAAGTAATTGCCAGAAAAGCATTCCATCCATATGACTCATTTAACTAAAAGATGATTATACACTAGCTGTAATATCGAAGAACATTTCTATTTCAGAGGGTTTTTCAACTTGGAATATTCTTCCTTATACATGTTTAAGTTTAGTGTAATTTTGTTCAAGCTAAGGGTTACGTGTCAAGGTCCTCATCTCTGCTGTGTTTTTTTAAAATTCCTAAATAAAAACACTGGCAAAGCGTATATTCAGCAGTATATAGGTCCTACGTTCGACCCCTATAGATTTTTTATTTAATTTTGTTTTCAGATATTATTATTTAAACTTATATAAAACTTTAATAATTTGTTTAAATTCAATGTTTTCTCTACCTTATTTGCTGCGAAGGCTACCTTTCATTATATTAATACTTAATCGATTTTTATTCGTTAAACTAATAATCAATTTGTATTCTTCAAAGTATTAACCGATTTTCACACTTTGTATATTGTATATATGATTGTGGTCTAGTTATACACTTCAAAGGGTCAAGGAGTAAATACAGCTTGACTATTATTCACCTATTCACTCCCATTGTGTCAGAAATATTCAATTATATATATTTTTTATTGATTTTTACCCTTTATATTGACTTGGAATGGATTAAGTCATGTTTGTTTCGCAAACATGACCTGCCACGCTTATGTCCTGTTTTAAGGACAGTCGAGAAAAGTGGACTATTTTGACGGATGTAATAGTGTGCGATATCTCATCTGATTGGAAATGGATTTTAGTGCAGTTTACGTATACGTTCCTTGAGCGCCATTGCAATTTTCTCACAAACTGTTAGAACGACCTATTAGATAAATAACACCCGTTTGAGAAACAGTAAGAGAAATTTAGTTCATGAATGCATTTCGAATATGTGCATCCAAGAATTTCGTAAGAATCTATGGAATAATGAATGTTACAGTTTCGAGGGCCTTCTGATTCCAAAACCAATCAAAACATCGTTTTTCCTTTTATTCAATTTAATGATGACTGTTGAAGGTTTCGAACGCCTTCCATCTCCAAAATAAACACCAAAATATCCTTTTTTTATTTAGTTTCCATTAAATGATGACTGTTCAAGGTTGCGATGGCTTTTCACTCCAGGAATTAAACCAAAACTTCATTTTGTTTCTATTCAAGATTTAATGTAAAGGTTAACAGGTCCTTCTTTCTACAAAATTAAACCAAAATATCATTTATCATTTTATTGCTTTTAATTTGACCTGGAGTCGGAGGGTAAGTGCCTTTATCCTCGTAAAACAGGGGGTAACGCTCACTTACGCTTTCTGCACCCCTGGAATATTTCGTGACAAAATTGAAGGCAAGCGGCTAACTATTTAATAAAGATAAAACAGACCAATTAGGGAACCGCTACCTGTCCATTGATGATTACAGAGGAGATATTTCAAAGCCGATCAGATTGACCGTTACGCTATCGCAGAATTCTTTTTATGTATATCAAAGGATCAAGCTGGTCTCCTTGTACCATACACAAAGTGGCGCACACCGAGCCGTCCTTTTATCATGACATATACCAGGGTTGCAGAGAGTGAAGCGAGCGTAACCCATCGGAATTTGTGCTTAGGTCAACATCCCATGGTTCATGAGTTTTGCTTTGCCAATATTTGTCACGACTTGTCAAACATGAATCACCGAAACATGACAATAGCTTATACACCGACAACATTATATAAAAAGTACAATTAATGACGATAGTTAAATATAAATTTATTAGTGACAGTGTATGCATGGTCGGAAACTGATGGAGTTTCTGTTATTTGCTTCAACGCAAAAATACCTGAATTGCAATTTCCAATAAGCGATGAATTTATGTCCGTTAATTGAAGTGGCTGCATAAAGTCATTTTTGCAATTTCGAGTGACAACCGAAAACAACGCGGTTTTCTTATTTCTGAAAGGTGCATTATTGCCGTGAATAGAATGTCGTTTTAAATTTGATAAGGCAAAAAAGGTCATTCTTAGTTGTTGATTTGAGAGTTTATTGATTAAAAGAAATAAATAGAATGAACTGCAATTGGATTTTTATGTTTAATATATTACTTCCTTGCGAGCGCGAGGGTACATTATGCGGATTTATGATGATTTGAGAGTTTCTTGATTAAACAAAAATTATAAAATAAACTGCAATTGAATGTTTATATATAAGATAATATGAAAAGGTAAAGCATTAAAAGAGCGAAGCTTTTGTTGATCTCTGATATTTAATGATTCAGAATGAGATAATACTGCTTTCAGAATGAGGGAAGATAAAATTGATTTAAAGTCGGCTAGTCGAGGGATAACAATAAAACATAAACTCTAATGAGATTAAGACCGACATAACAATAGGGGAGATCGGGGCAAATTCGGTCCCTTTTTTAAAGTCCGTTTTGGGAAGTATGGCAGCACGTCCGTTTTTAAACGTTATTTAATTTTCCCTGTCTGATGATCGGATGGCCGAACGAGCCACGCCATGGGATAAGTTCGGACAGGCATTCGGGTAAATTCGGCTCCATTCGAATCAGCTTAATTATGACGTTATCAAACATGCAACGTCAGATGTTTCCGCCAATTTTACGACTTTTTATGTGTTACATGGGCCGAACTTGCCACGGTATCATTGGCCGAAACTGTCCGGGCCCAAATTGATATTTCAATAAATTCTTATCGTACAGCAATATGGTAGTGAGTGCTTGGCTTTTATGTATATCATTTGAAGCTGTCAGTGTGTTACACGTTTGACCGTAAAAAAATAGCAATTCCGTTCACAGAAAGTTCGCATAACTAGAAGCGAGATCATGATTTTCTTTCTACCCTCTCAAAAGTAATTTTCTCCTGTTTAGTAATTTTAAATTAGAGTTTTCCTCGCCATTTTTTCGTGTAAATGCCCAGCCAACTAAACTGCTAAGATCTTTAAAGTTATAAATATTAGCTCAAAAACAAAAATATCAGGGGTGGCCGAACTTGCCCCGGTCTCCCGTATGAAGATTTTTTGTATTGTTGATGATTGGTAAATATGTATTCCCCACATAATTTTTGCATCAATGACGCCATTTTCAAAGCTTAAGTAGATATTCATTCTTGTGCGTAACGTATATGATGGGTCGGGTGGTGCAGTGGATAGCGCGCTCTGTTTTTTTTTATCTGTCCTCTATTCAACCATTCTCGATTGACACTTAGAAATCAGCTGATAAACCAAAATATAACCCATGACCATTTTAATATAAACACATTACTTCATGGATGTCATGAATGTGATGAAGAAACCAATGCATTTGTACTACAATGTAGAGTGCATTATCAACACTAAAATATTTGTTTAATCATAACTATACCTTGTACGGTGGGGACATGGAGACACACTATATGAATTGTTTATATTTTGTTTGATGATTTCAATGACTGTACATATAACATACCGAAGTTGTAAGGAGAAGGCTTATATAGGCTTGGCCTGATGCCCTATCCCTTTGCATATTTTTTGCAATAAAATTTGTTGAAATGAAAATAGCGCGCTCGTCTTCAACAAGATGGCCAGATTCAATCCCGATTACCTGCCCGACCACGCGGGTTTTCTCCGGATACTCCGGCTTCCTCCCACATTAAGAATTAAGTCTTCATCGTGCTTCCGGCAGGTCACAAAAAGAATGATTGAATTAAGTTGGGGAAAAACTGTTTTGTAATTGCTATAGAAAAAAAGTGCATATTACACATTTTACGATAAGTTTATAAAAGTAAATGTATAGAGATGTTAGTTAAAAAATGAAATTAAAAAAAGAAAATATTGTAATACTTTGATGTAACTAAAATTGTCGTGATATCGATATATAGTTTGAATTCCTGTTCCATCCTGAAACACCGGATTGAATTTTAAGTTTTGTAACTGTCACTGAGGTTTGACAGGTAATGATGCCAAATAAAATTAAACAGTTTCTGTCTGTAACTAGTTATAAATCGGCATGCGTTGTGAAAAAGTGATACGTTGCTGAAAAATGGCGTTGAACTCGGGTTCGATGTCTGGACAATTATTGTTGATTTCGACATAAATTAATTATCCATTGTTTCTTTTATGAGTGGTGATGCATACATAAATTATGTAAAAGACGATAACCAGACTTTCAAAAAATGTTAATTATTTCGTTCATATACGCAACAAATCAAAATCAAAAGCTGTGGAATTTAAGAGGATGAAAAAAATTGTACACGTTGACCTATTGGTTTAATGCGGCTCTTTTTTAAAATATCTCCCGGTAGAATTTTAACAGAACATGGTTG